ATGAATATTATCTTTTAATTTTCAGATGAACATTAATTAAATTTGCATTTTTCTGATTACTAGTGAGGCTGAATGCCTTATTAGATATGTGTTGTTCTTTTCCATTTCTTTTCTTGTCTATTAATTGCCTCTTGACAGCATTTATTTGTTTTTTTTCCTATTGTGATATTTATCTTAGTGATTTGTAAGAATTTTTTCTTTACAAAGATCCTATCTCCTCTACCCCCTATTACATAGATTGCAAATATTTTCCAGTTATATTAACCTTATTGGTAGGGCCTGGCCCCACCCTATGCTCTAATCTTGCCACATTTTTGCCTGGAGAGTTTTGTTCCATTACCATTGAAATTCCTGAAATGAGAAGTAAATGAAAGGGTTCTTTCTTTCTTTCTTTTTTTGAGAGGTTTTTGCTATAGGGCACATGCACTCACCAGAACAACAGAGAGAGACAAAGAGATAGAAAGTGAGAAATCACTCCCCAAGGGGGATGGCCACCTGCAATCCCTTCTCCTCCATTTTCCTCTCTGGATCTTGGGCACTTACGTACACGTGCCTGGTGTGAGTTTAAGCCACCAGATCTGGGACTTGAACCACACTACGTGGGAGTTCAGCGACATAGGCATTATGCTAACTGCTGGTCCCAATGAAAGTGTTCTTAAGTTGAAAATAAGCCTTACCATTCCCTCCCTGAAGTTGTTCTAAGAGGAAAAATCAAAGTTTTGGAGGAGTGGGAGAGTGACTTGGGTTATAGTATGTTTCAGTGAACAGATAACAGATTATTTTATTATAAAATTATGTGTGTGTGTGTGTGTGTGTGTGTGTGTGTGTATGAAAATGTGTGTGTATATTTGTGCATATATGTATATCTGTTTTTATACACACCTGCACTTAGAGGTATTTCGAGGGAGGAGGAGATAGTTATACACACACACACACACATACACGTTTGTTGTTGATTTTATACTGTTTCTAGTGAATGGAGAGACTGTAACCTTTGCAGATAAGATAGGTGAGGTGTCAGAGCTGGATGTTTATGGAAGTGGTATTGTAGTCATTTGTTCATATGTTTCTAGATTTAATTGGATCTGTCAGCATAAGCCATGCTCCTCATGGAATCTGCAAGTTTATTGACCTAAATCTTAAATGTATGGAGCAATTTGCTAAAATATTGACATCCACTTTATGTGAAGTTATAGCATTCATTAGAGTCAGAAAATTGTTTACCTGGGAAGCCATTCATCTCTAACATAATAAAAACAAGACTTATATGATGACCGACTCATCCATTGATCTTGCATTCATTGCATCTCACTGTGTGCCAGATACAGAGATAGAAAGAATGACTAAGACAAGGTCTTTTCCCTGTGCTGAGTCTGGGGAGTGATTTGTGAATGTAGGTGTGTACTAGTGCACAAAAGATGTTAAGCGAGAACCAGAGGAAGTGATGTGAAGTCTGAATGGGGAGAGAGAGTTTGAGAAATCACCATGCCCCTGACTTTAGAATTTGGTCTTGAAAAATGAGCTTGGTTTTGCCTGCAGGAGAATAAAGGAAAGGGCATTTGGGGAAGCATCCCATGAATTGCTGGAATGTGTGAAGGGCAAAGGCATGAAAGAACAGGGTGAGTTTGTGACCTGTATGGCTGTAGCAAGGGATGAGTGCTGGCACGGAACACCAGCATGCAGGCCTCTGGCCAGGCTGTGAAAGTTCTTATACGCCATGCTGAGTAATTAAACTATGTCCTAACATACCACCTGATGCAGGAAAGGAATAATGTCAGCATCCAGCAAACATTCCTGGCTAATGACCTTGAGCAGGTGCAAACACCATCTGGAAAGGTCACTGCCATAGCCTAAAAGAGAGGCCCAGGTAGCAGTTGTGAGAAAGGAAAAGAGAGAAAAAGTTAGGAATTTATTTTGATGGTAGAATCAAAATACCATCAAAAGGGGGGACCAGCAGATGGCGTAATGATTACATTGCTGGACTCCCACATGGTCAACTGCAGTTTGCATACCCCAAATCCTGAGAGGAGCCTGGAGGAGAAGGGAGAAGGGATTGTGGTGTGGCTATTCCTCCTGGGGGTGATTTCTCACTATCTGCCTCTCTGGTGAGTGTACATGCCCTATAGCAAAAAAGAAAAAATACACACACACACACACACACACACACACACACACACCATCAAGAAGGATGAGCCCAAGAGAATGACAAATGAGGGAGAGGGGAAAATAAGTTGAACTCTACAATTAGATTGAGCAGTTAGAAAGAGGTTGCAGTTATTGGAGCTGGCAGGTTATGTGGTGGTTAAAGGTGCTGGATTCCCACATGGCTGACTGTGGTTTGAGTCCCAGACCTGGTGGCTTATTTTCTCGTTCTCCCTTTCTCTCTTTCTCTGTCGCTGCCTGGTCAAATTAGAAATAATACTAATAGTAACAAATGGAATTAAATAAATAAATAATTTTTTTAAAAAAAGGTTGCAGTTACTTAGCAAAAGAGGAACTGAGGGGAGAAGACTGAGCTGGATATTGGTTTGGGACATGGCGATGTGGCTTGAGGACTGTCCACATGGTCATGTCTGCTCAGCAGGTGAAAATACTGGAGTAGCTCCTCAGAGAGAGATCAGGGCTGGTTGTCTAGGTTTTCTGGGCCACCTACATAGCAGGCACAGCTGCAGGGAACCAGTATGATTGTCTGAGAGAAGATGCGTATTGCAGAGAAGAAAGAGGCTTTCCTGGGGAAAAATGAAGGGGAAGATAGCTTGCTAGAAAGCTTGTAACATGCTGGGATCAGGAGATAGCATAATGGTTATGTTGCTGGACTCCCATGTAGTTAACTGTGGTTCGAGTCTTGGACATGGCAGCTTAAAATTAATGTTGGGTGTGTGTGTACTTGCATGCCCAAAATCCCAAGAGGAGAATGGAGGAAAAGGGATTGTGTTTGGCCATTCCCCCCAGGAGGTAGGGTGGGGTGGGGTGGGGTAATTTTTCACTTTCTGTCTCTCTGGTGACCACACACACTAACTCTATAGCAAAAATCTCTCTCTCAAAAAAAAAAAAAAAAAAAAAAAGAAAAAGAAAAAGAAAAAACAGGACCAGCAGTTAGCGTAATGGTTATGTTGCTGGACTCCCTTGTAGTTGACCATGGTTTGAGTCCCGGACCCAGTGTCTTAAATTCATGCCAGGTGCATGTGTGTGCGTGCCCAAGATCCCTAGAGAATGAAAGAGAAGGGGTTGCGGTGTGGCCATCCCCCGTGATGGGGCGATTTCTTGCTTTCTGTCTCTCTGTCTCTCTCTCTGTCTTTCTGGTGAGCGCATGTGCCCTATGGCAAAAACCTCTCAAAAAAGAGAGAAAGAAAGAAAGAAAGTAACATGCACCATGCAAAAGAGGTGTTTTTCTGCTCAGCTGATTGATATGTCTCAATCCTACTGAAATGAATGCTAGGTAGGGCAGAGAGAAGTCTTCCAAAGAGTCTTAAAAGGAATCTCTAGATATGGAGGAGAGAAACAGGCATTATACGGCATTGCAAAAGTCGGGGGAGCAAGGGAGAAGAGATTTTCCGTGTGATGGTTAAATGCTGCTGAGAGACAAATACGGGGAAGATCTAAAGACTTTTAGTGAACAGACTTTCAAAAGAGCAGCTTCAGGGGCCAGCAGGTGATGTAGTGGTTAAGGCACTGGACTTCCACATGGTTGACCACAGGTTGAGTCCTAGACCCGGCAGCTTGAAAATCTCACTGGGCGTGTGTGCATATGTACCCAAAATCCCAAAAAGGGAATGGAAGAGAAGGGATTGCAGCATGGGTATCTTCCCTTGTGGGTGACTTCTCAGTTTCCCTCTTTGTCTCTCTCTGGCTCGTGCACACACTCTATGGCAAAACAAGAACAAAAAAGAGAGCAGCTTCAGTTGGTTGGGTGGGATATGACACGGAAAGGGAAGGTCAGGTGTCAGTGTGATGCAGGCTGAGAAGTGGGCACGATGGCAGGGATGGTGCCTGCACAGCTGGCTGGGGGAAGCACTGGAAATTCATCTTAGTTGGATTGTGGGGAGTGGTCTTGCTCTGCTTACACACCAGAATCCATTACACTCTGCTTTGGGCTATGATAGTGGTTCTTGGCATGAAGATTCTCAGCCTAGTAGCATGTTTGGAGTGTAGACTCTCAGGTTTTACTCAGATCTACTGAATCAGACCCCCCAGGGGCAGCATCCAGCTTGTATGCTTTTTTAAAGTTTTTTTGCCATTAGGGTGGGTGCACTCACCAGAGAGAGACAGTGAAAAGGAAAGTGAGAAATCATCCCCCAGGAGGGATGGCCACACTGCAGTACCTTCTCTATTCTCCTTCTGAGGTTTTGGGCATGCACACGCTGGCACCCAATGTGATTTTCAAAAGCTGCATGGCCCAGAACTCCAACAGTGGTCAGTCATGTGGGAATTCAGTGCTGTAACCACTACGCCACCTGCTGGCCCCTGTAGGGTGTTTCAATGAACTTTTCCAGTAAGTCAGTGAGTCTGATCATCTGTGATGTCTGACAACCATTGGCCTGTGACATAATTTTGGGAAAAATTAGCACAACTGAGCTCATTTGCTTCCGAGGATTGACCTTCTGAGAGAGTCCCAAAACTGGGAGTCAAGGTTTACAGCCAGAGGGCAAGAGGAACAAGACTTTACCCTCATGCCTGAAATGTAGCTGGGAGCTCGGTTTTTGTTCCTGTAGGTGGAAATAACAGTGAACAGCCTTATTTCTCTACTGAGTCTCAAATTTCTTGTTGCAACATAAAACATTATTATCTAAGGACACGCTTTGCTTTAATAGAATGTGGTTTTACTTTTATTAAGGGCCTGGGATTCCCTGGTTCTATTTTCTTGTCCTTAAAATACAATCTGATATTTTTATCTTTGGTAGGGCACAGGGGTGCTGCTGTTGAAAAAGCTCCAGACACTGGCAGATGTTTTCCCTGACACGACTGCACACTTATCAGATCATTTGTTCTTGTCTCACCAGGTCTGTGAGCTGGATATTATCTTTAATTTTGAAAAGGCTTATTTTATCCTTGATGAATTTATAATAGGAGGAGAAGTTCAGGAAACATCCAAAAAAACAGCTGTCAAAGCCACTGAAGACTGCGACATGTTACAGGAGGTCAGTGTGGTTTTAGAGGCCGTGGGAGAGATGAGGATGCTGATGGTGGTGATGATGAGGATGTTGACGGTGGTGATGATGAAGATGAGGATGATGGTGATGGTGGTGATGATGAGGGTGATGGTGATAACGAGGATAATGGTGGTGATGATGAGGATGAGGGTGATGGTGATAGGAGGGTGTGGTGATAATGAGGGTGATGGTGGTGATGATGAGGATGAGGGTGATGGTGATAGGAGGGTGTGGTGATAATGAGGGTGATGGTGATAATGAGAGTGATGGTGGTGATGATGAGGATGAGGGTGATGGTGATAATGAGAGTGATGGTGGTGATGATGAAGATGAGGGTGTTGGTGATAATGAGGGTGATGGTGGTGATGATGAAGATGAGGGTGTTGGTGATAATGAGGGTGATGGTGGTGATGATGAGGATGAGGGTGATGGTGATGATGTCACCAACAGCTTCGTGAGGATGATGGTTAATATCTAATAATATTAGCCTATATTTATTGAGTACTTACTTCGTGCCTGATACTTTTAAGTTCATGTGTATTTATTCCTTTTATGAGAAAGAGAGAGACCAGTACCTCTGATGGAGTCTTGTCACATTGCCACTCTCCTCCCAGCCTCCCAGCTAACCAAGATCTCAAGCACACATGGGTACATCCAGTGTATTCAGGTTGACCCAGGATTTCCCTTTAAAGCTCAAGTATTGCTCAATGACTGCCTACCACCGGCACCACCACAGCTGGGCCCTCAGTGTGGTTTCTAAGCAATTTATATTTATTAGCTTATTTGACTCCCATGGCAAGTCTAAGAGCTAGGTAAGCATTGTTATTCCTGTCTTACAGATGAGTAACTAAGACTCCAAGAAGTTAAATTGCCTGCTCCATGTTACACAGCTACTGGATTGTCAGAAAAGTCATGATGTATTTTTGCATACATAAACATAGCAAAAAATATGTCATGACTTTTCGTTACTTTTCTGACAATCCAATAGCAAGAATAGAGATTTTATTTAGTTTACTTATTTCTTCAAATTGCCAGAGAGGTAACACTCCCAATTTTGTCCTGATGCCACAATCCACTTCCAGCCTCCGCCAGCCCTAGCTCATGGGTTCATGTGTGCCTGGCGTACTCAGGGAGGTCTTTGGACGTAAACCTAGAACCTTCCCATGTGGGTCAGTCTTGCAGAACACTGCAGCTTACTGTTGTACCATCATCCAACCCCCGAAGAATATAGATTCAAACCCAGGCAATTGGGCTCAAGAATCTTTGCTCTTTGGGACCAGCAGATGGAGGAATTATTACGTCACTTGGCTGTCACATTACCAACCGTGGTTTTGTGTCCCAGACTGGAGGCTTCAACTTAATGGTAGACACGTGTGTGTGTGTGTGTGTGTGCCCAAAATCCAAAGAGGAGAATAAAGGAGAAGGGATTAGAGTGTGGCCATCTCTCCAGGGGGTGATTTCTCCCTTTCTGTCTCTCTGGTGAGCACATGCACCCTAGATCATAAATCTCTCTCTCTCTCTCAAAAAAAGAGACTCTTTTCTTTTTTAAGCTTTTTAATATGACTCTACCTCCAGGTCAAAAAGGAATCAAATGTTGGTGCTATTCTTTTCAAGAATAATTTTGTTCATTGTGTAAAAAGCCTTTCATTAAAATATCTGTGCTGCTCTGGGAAGGGAGAATAACAGTACATAGTTATTTCATTTGCCAGGGATGTTAGAACTTCATTATTGAAGGTGGCGTTTATCATTTTAATTAAAATTTCTTACATCTGGGAAAGCTGTGTGTATGCTCCTGTTTGCAAAACTAAGTTTTGGCCCCTGTAGCTTGCTCGCCTAAGTATAAATGGACCCTGAAGCATCCATTTCCTCCTGATCCTCTGTAATTCTTATATAAAATATAGTGGGAATTTTCTTTTAGAAGCAGCCCAGATGCATACCATACCTAGTAAGGGAACTTTCCTATGTTAGCCTGTTGGGTCCTTCCAAGGACACTATGAGAAAGGGCTCTTCAGCCCGCTGGTCTTTGCCCTACTAAGTGGGATCATCTGACCAGCCCCTGCTTAGGCATGCATCGGGAGGTGGGGGCCTGGGGCCGCCCAGCCCTGCTACCAGTAGGTACATTTTCTCATGCATCAGTGGCATTTCTGTCATTCTCTTTCCATAATACAAGGTCAAAAGGATCCAGAGCACTATAATATACCTTTTTCAGATTGGTGTTTGGCTGGCCCCATGGCCTAGTGGTTAAGGGAGCTGGATCCTAAATGACTGATTCAGTGGTTTAAAGGCTCGCCCTGGCAGCTTGAAAAACACACTGGGTACAGTTGTGTGTGTGTGTCCCAAATCCTGACAGGATGGAGAAATAGAGGAGAAGGGGACCAGCAGTTAGCATAATGGCTATGTCACTGGACTCCCATGTAGTCAACTGCAGTTCATGTCCAGACCCAGTGGCTTAAAAAAAAACTCACTCCGGGCGCATGTGCGTGTGTGCCCAAGATCCCAAGAGGAGAATAGAGGAGAAGGGATTGCGGCATGGCCATCCTCCCTGGGGGGTGATTTCTTACTTTCTGTCTCTCTGTCTCTGTCTGGCGAGTGCATGCGCCCTATAGCAGAAACTTCTTAAAAAAAAAAAAAGAAAGAAAGAAAAAAAGAAATGGAGGAGAAGGGATTGTAGCATGGAGCACACTCCACTGGGGGATGCTTTCTCCCTCCCCCTCTGTCTCTCTCTCTGGTGAGCGAGCACATATGCTCTCTAACAAAATAAATAAGTACATAAAATTGGAATTCAAGTCATTCTTCCTGCTGGCTGATTAAGTTAGTGAAATAAGAGGCTGATTAGATTAATACACATTAGGTGTGATTTGTCAGCAACTGTTTTGGCACATATCTGAGCTGGTTACCTGCTTCTGCCTGTTGAGGGAATCCATCCTCTGGCGAGTGGATGTGGAGAAGGATGTCTGTGTGAGTGGGTCCTGTAAGCAGCTCCTATCCCTGCTAGGACAATGCTTTTGTTACTAGAGGTGTTCTCCCTTCAAAAAAATGCAGTGAAGCTCTCTGATGTTTACTAGACTGTTTCCAAATGTCAAAGGAAGATCATTTTACAGGGAGGGTACTTTAAAAATCAGTGGTTTGGAAATTCCACAGAATAGCATTTCCTAAAATATGTTGGGGTGAGGAAGGTTGGTGGGCAGGAGTAGGTAGGTGGAGATTATTTATAACTCTATCCTCAAGGTCCTTACTGTAGAACCTCCTTATGGGAGAAACAGGTTTTTAATAGTGTTTGGTTCATCAATAGGGAAAGCTTCTTGAATTGGGGTCATGACACACCCAGGTAATTTCAAAGTCCCGTTTGAAGGAAATCGTTTTAGAGAGCTTGCAGTAATCTGGTGTTTCTAGTTCCATTTCAATGTGGGAAGCAGGTATTTCATATGTGAGTTCTTTCAACAATTGTGTGCTAATTGATAGTTCATGTTCCTGGTGACTGAGTGGATCCATGATGGGTAGTGCTCAGGGGACCCTAGACTTAGCCCCTAAGACCCTAGAGTGAGCAGGCAATGTTATAGCTGCTCTTTAAAGTGCTCTTCTTGATTTAACATCACCTGCCAAATACAGAACATGTTATTGGCGTTCTCTTAGGCTCTCGTACTCACTTCAGTGAAGTCAATGAACACTTTGGGGAGTGTGTGGAAAAATGGGCTTTGTGTATCTGTTCTGCTTTTAAAAAGTTTAGAATGGGGCCTAGTGGTTAAGGGAGCTGGATGGACTCACCATATGGTTCAGATCTCAACTCCAGAAGCTTGAGAAACAAGCTGGGCAAGTGGTTGTGAGCATCCCAAATCCTGACAGGATGGAGAAATGGAGAAAGGATTACAGCATGACCACACACCATTAGGGGACACTTTCTCCCTTCCCTACTCTGTCTCTTTCTGGCAAGCACTCTGGCAAATTAAAAAAACAAAATAGGAGCAAATAATATAATTCTACAAAGGAAAAGACATCTACACCTTTTTTTTTTTTTTCTATCCTTTAGGCCTAAGCACATATTTGTAGTTACTAAAGATTAAGGGAGGCTTTTGTGACATTGCTTTCACTCTTAGAACAACCATAAACCTTGCAGTAACCCCTGGGACTTTCCTTAACCCCTACCTAATACGTTTCTTAAAATTACCAAAAAAAAAAAAGGAAAAAAGAAAAAGGTTGTCCTTGCATAATATTGTAGTAAGATACATAGTCTTAAATCTACAAATGTTCAAAGCTTATTCTTAGTGTACAGAGTGTTTAGCAGATAATAGGGTTTTATTTAATTGGCTGGGGATGACTTATTTACATCAAGGTGGGCAATAGCATAAAATTATTTAAAGAAAAAAGAAACTAAGGAAGCAAAAGATAGTAGACATTAATAGCAGAAGGTGCAATTTCTAGGATCTCAAGTGGGGGCGGCAGACAACAGATATTTTCTGAAGACTAAGGACAAGTGAGCGAGGGGGAAATCAAATGGAATCTTGGGACCAGAAGATGGCATAATGGTTACTTGCTGGACTCCCACATAGTCGACCAGAGTTTGAGTCCCAGACCAGGAGGCTTACAACTCACGTCGTATATGCGTGCATGCATGCATGCCCAATATCTCGAATGGAGGAGAAGAGATTGTGGGGTGTCCACCCTGCCCCCAAGCGGGTGATTTCTTGCTTTCTGTCCCTCTGTCTTTCTCTGTCTTTTTGGCAAGTGCATGAGCCCTATAGCGTGCGCGTGCACACACACACACGTGCATGCACACACACACACACACACACACACACACACAAATTGGAATCTCATGAGCTTAAGCAACAAGACTCATTGTATACATGAGTGGAGCCATGAGGAGACTGCTAGGTGCACTCCAACAATCACCTTTAAAAGCTTAAGTCATGTTGGGCCAGCAGGTGGCATAGAGGTTAAGGCATTTGGATCCCACATGGCTAGTTGCAGTTCAAGTCTTGGATCCAATGGGTTGAAAACCGCACTGAGCATGTGCACGTGTGAGCCTAAAATCCTGAGAGGAAAATAGAAGAGAATGGGTTGTGGTGTAGTCATTTCCTCTGGGGGGTGCTTTCTCACTTTCCCTTGTTCTCTTTCTGTCTCTCTCCAGTGAGCACATGAACCCTATAGACAACTAATTAAAAAAAAAACTTTTTTAAAAAGCATACACCATGTTAACATCTAAGCCAAACACAGCAATAGAAAGTCATAGCATGTCAGTGCTGTCCAAGGAGTCTCCAAAATTCATGGAACAAGTGTATTTCGAAAAAGCTATCCACAGATTTCAAAAAAAAAATTTTGGGGCATCAAAATAAGCTTGTACTCTTAGATTTATTTTTTCACTAAGTTTTTGAAGTCTGATGTGTACAAGAACACTGCAGTACTGGACGTATCCAGAGGGGTCCTAAGATACTGACTCCAACTCTCTCCTTGAGAAGACAAGGGCAGAGCTCTTTATGGTTGTGTCAGCTGGAAAAGCCTGCTCCGAGCCTATGAAGTAACAAAATCAAGAAAATACCCAACATCACTGGTTTACATAGCCCTGAGTAATGGCATGGCTCAGGCAGGGTGGCCAGTGCGTGTTTAGCAGACTGACTCACCTGTGTTGTGAGCAGTGCTGATAGCCAGAGGCCAGTGAACCGTGAATACGGCAAGTGTCAACTCCAAGGCCTTTGACTAGCTGGGTCCTTTCTAAGCCCCAGCAAAGCCCTATCGGGTCATGCATTTTTGCCAGATTATAAAAGCAAGATATTTTAATTAGAAAATGATGTAGTCATACAATGAAAATAAAATATAGCAGATCATCAAGAAATTAATTAATGAAAAGATATGCTATTGTGTTGTGTTTTATATTTGTCATCTTTCAAAATTTCTGACTCTGCTGCCAGTTCTTATTCTAAAAATGTACACATATCGTGCTGGGTATTTTGGTGCCTCATCTTTCCAAATTTCTTATATATTGATAAATTGTGGCATGGGAGTAGATTTAAAGCTATAACTCAATACCACATGATTTCAGAAAAAGGTCAATTGGTACAAATAATATCCACATTTTAAATGCTGAACAACAAGAATCTTTTGCTAAGAGTCCAAATAGGTTGATTGTAACCCAAACATAGAGGTTGTCATTCTGTCAAGCTCTGTGGCCTGGTAAAGCTGATTTTCAATACTCCTACGGAAGCTTCATAAGACTTTTTTTCACCAAGCCAAGACGTTGGCTTATATGTATGACAAATTAGGTCCTGTCTCAAGTTCCACTTCCAAGGGAAAAGCACTAGGCATCCCAGTTTTATTGAATGCAGCAGTTGTTTCTATGACCATTGGAGTCTTTGAAGCCCAGTCACAGTTTAGGACGATAGTTCTCCAAATATAAAAGTTGCTTGCTGTTAAAAGCTCCTTGCTGCTGCTTTTTTCTTATGAATTGTACTGCATCTTTGTATTTGATTCCACCTTCAGTTAAAGCTAGGGCAACTAGCAGTGGAGCTCTCCCAAGGCCTGCAAACAATGAAAAGCAATAGAACAACCAGGTTCTTCACGAAACCTAATTTTTACAAGACTTAACCAGTCATCATCAATCTGGTTGGATGGTAACCATCATCAAAGGCCAGTCGAAAACATGGATGCCTTCTTTCTCCACAAGGGTAGTGTCCTAAGTTGCTTCACATACTCTTACTACTATGATAATTCCATACTTCTTAAGTTCCTCTATACATTTGTTTAAGGTTGTATTAGTTGGATTTCGTGTAATGAGAAATCTCGTGTTCTTGTAAGCAACTTCTACTGGAGCTGGGTGGTTCATTCAAGCCATGTTAATTTAGTTAAAAAACACTCCATAGCATTATGAGAGAATTTGATAAACTGAATCCAGAAATGATGCCAATATACTGAAGTCTACTTCTATATACTGCATTTGAAATTCTCAGTGCTTTGAGTGTGAAGTCGACAGTAATGGGAAATGAATGAACGTCCTGACAAGAAGTAGCAATTCTTCTATCCAGTAATACTGAGGCAGTAGAAAGAAAGTGCACTGAGGTTTGCCCATCTAGGTCAGAACTCTTATAAAATGCTCTGCAGATCTCAGTTCAACTTCTGTGTCCAGGTTAACCCATGTTTAGGGGGAGCTTCTTGGTGGAGCAGTAATGAATTTCCACAGTTCACTTGTCTGCATAGAGATCGTTTTGTGCCTGGCGGTAATCGCCACCACCCTTCAGGAACTCCATAAATGTGTGACCAAGGACACCACAAAACTGAGGAATATGTTTACTCATTGAAGATTGCGGCCTAGTAATACAGAGGTTCCCCAGGCAGCAGCAACACAGGTGTTGGCGGTGGCAGTCGCTGCAGGACATGGGTTGGTGGTAGTTGTGGTGGGGCAGTGGTGTTTGCAATGCAGATAGCAGCGGGGACACCAGACTCCTGTGTCTCTGTTTTTTTCTTTTTTGAAGAATTATCTTATTTAACTTTATTTATTTATTTTAATTTGACCAGAAGGGACAGAGCGAGAAAGAGGGAAAGTGAGAAAGCAAGCCACCAGGTCTAGGACTTGAACCGTGGTTGGCCATCTGGTAGCCCATCGCCTCTAACCACCACACCACCTGCTGGCTCTTCCTGTATCTCTTTTCTTTTCTTTTTTTTTTTTTGAAGACGTTTTTGCTATAGGGGGCGTGTGCTCGCCAGACAGAGAGAGACAGAGAGATAGAAAGCGAGAAATCACCTCCCACGGGGGATGGTCACGCCGCAATTCCTTCTCCTCCATTCTCCTCTCGGGATCTTGGGCACGCACGCACACACGCCCGGCGTGAGTTTAAGCCACTGGGTCCAGGACGCGAACCGCCGTCGACTATGTGGGAATCCAGCGACATAGCCATTACGCTAACTGCTGGTCCCACCTGTATCTCTTTTTAAATGTTTAAACTCTAGACTCTGCCAAAGCAGCCTGGTCCACTGGACAGTATATGTACTGTGTAAGTTAAAAGACATGGGCAAGGTCTAGAAGGAGACAAAGGGTTGTGGGGCTCTTTTGGCCAATGCCTGTTTAGGAGGTAAGTAAGAGCTTTTATAAGAAAATATGGATGACTGAGCACAAGTGTTTTCAGCAGAGGAACACTGAATCTCCAAATGGAGCTAGTGAAAACCAGCTAGAAAACTTAATTTCCAGCTCTGGTATGCCATGAAAAATCCTAGTTGGCCAGTGACTTTAGTCTCTTTGGCTCATGCCAATCAGTATGTATCTTGGTAGAGGGAATAAATCACATACTCTGGGGTTTAAGCGCAAGACTGAGTAGAGCATTGATTCCTAGATGAGCAGATGGTGACTCAAACAGAACAGGTAGGATGTTGTAAGGAAATGTTCTACCCCCTTAAACTCTCTTGTTGATTCAAACTGGGGCCATGGTGTTGCACAAATGCGTATGTGTAACATCACTATAACTGTCTTTTTTCAAATATTTCCAAAGTGCTAGGAAAAAATTAGGACCTTGTGGCATGTTAGCCAACTTGGTAACTGATGAAAAGGATGAAGAAACATAATTTGTATAATTTGGAGGAAAGGCCTTTTAAAACACATGGCAACAATTCTAAAGAATTATGAGCTGCTTATCTTTGATGTCTTGGCAATACGTGTAATAAAGATATTCTGCATGATATATGTAACAGGACACATATTACACGAATAAAATTCAGACTTCTCTAATACATGTGCCTGGATGTGATCCTCATGATTATTTTAGCAGACGCTTTATCCCAAGTCAACAGCGATTTCTTGGCAGCTGCTGCTTTAGGGTTTCTCTTCTCTGACATTCACTTTATAATCAAGCCGAGCTTTTTCTCAGTTGGAAGTTATTTAGTTCCAGCCATATGGAAGTGTATACAAATTATACTCAAATGTGTATACAAAATATGTGTAAAAATTTATACCCAAACTTTGAACCACCTTTCTGGATTAGAATGCAAAGATTTATGTCCTTGTGTACTTTGAAAACTTCTTTTGAACAATAGCAAAAAAATTAAATAAATAAAATAATATAAAAGATTTTACAGTCTGCTAAAGGATATGGCTTGAAGAGAGTATTGTTTTAATGTATTGTTCTTTTTCAGACAATGGAAGAATACATGAACAAGCCTACATTTTAACTGTGCATCTACGTGAAATCTACTTGAAGACTTCGAGTACTCTCTGTTGGGGATGTGTAGATAAGCAATGCTTTGCATCTGGGTTTTTGATGGAACCTCTGGCACCATGCCAAAGTAACCTAAAGGGATTCTTTGTTAACTAACAGAAGTTAAAGTTGTTTAAATAATATATTTTAATTATGACATGTCTGTATTATACTGTATATGAGTACTTATTTTACTCTGGTTGTTTAAAAAAGTTGCTGTATAACTCAATGGACTCAATGGTTTGCAATGTTTTAACCCCACATGATATAGTTATGCTAATTTTTATAAATTAGCGGCAATATATTTTTGTTGCATTTGATTCTACACTGACAGGTTAAAAACTATATTGTAATAACCCATGACTTTGAATGTAAAGAATATCTTATATCATTAATACTTTTTCTAAATGTTTAGTTTTTAAAAATTTTATAATTCAAAATTCTGTTACTAGTTCAGTCCATACATAATGCTAGACATTTTAATACAGTTTTTAATACTGTAATTTCAGTCCAGCTACAATGTATCTGATTTTAATGCCCTGAATTCACTTATTTTTTTCATAATTGGAATTAAGGAAAATAACCAAAGAGAATATAGAATTTAGCAAGTATTTTTGATACCTTACAAGCTGCTGTCAAGACCGTTTTTAATTATGCCTTTTAATTGAATAAAAGGGACATTTAAATACGTTCTTATATATATATATATATATATACACACACACACACACATACACACATATGTGTGTATATATATATATATATATATATATTGCTATAAGGTGATTGCACTTGCTGGAGAGAGAGAGAAAAAGTGAGAAAGCACCCCCAAAGGGGAGATGGCTATGTTGCAATACCAATTCCTCCTTCTCCATTCTCCTTGTGAGATTTTGGACACACATGCACATGAGTCCAGTTTTTTTTTTTTTTTTCCCCCAAAGCCATCAGGTACAGGACTTGAACCACACAGTTGGCCATGTGGGATTCAGTTACCTTAGCCACCATGCCACTGGTTAGCCCAAACTATATATATTTATAAGTGCCTCAAGTGATCTGGAAATACAGTATCTATGACTTCCCTTATTATTATAAAAATAGTATGGTAAAGATTAATAATGACAGCAATAATTATTATTGCAAATACTATTTTTAAAATGCGTTTCAAGCATTCTTTGCTACTTTAGAGATTATTTCAAAAATGTTTTACTGCACACCTAATATGTTTGAAGACTTAGGATTATCAGACTTACTAAGAGTACTTTATATTACTGTAGTCTATAGAGTGGATATCTTCTCTCCTTTTTTTCTTTCCATACTCCGTTTTTCCCCAAAGAATATATTTGCTACTGACCATTATTATTACGAGTATGTCCTGTTCATCCTTTCTGGAATGAAAATTCTACCTAACCAGGTCCTAAATATAATTAGACAATTATAGGGACATACCAGTCATGTTGCAGTGCTTAGGGACACTTTAGTGCTTTTCCTAGGAGAAGAATGTACATGCTGTGGGAGTCTAGAGAGCCCATCTGGTAAATGCTCAAAGAACCTAACGGGAAAATGTCTCTTTGGTTCATCTGCGTATATTTAGGGGGAAAAATGGCAAGACAAAAGCAGTGGGAAAAATGGACCAATTCCTCAACATAACTATTATTCAAAGGGAATAATTCAGATTAATATATGAATTAATCATTGGGTTTTTAAGTATCTAATATATTCTCAACTTATTAATGCAATTATAAGTATGGCAACACAGTGAAGCTTAACTATATTTTTTGATCACTTTGTTTATTTTAGGTTTTCTTTAATTTTGTGGTTTAATTTTTTATTTCTAATATGGTAAAATTGTTTATTTTTCAAAACAATTTTGTAAAGATGGACTTTACATAATTCAGCAGTTTTTCTTGTTCTTTTGAAAAATGTTTTTTAAATCAGTTTTGGATGAAGATATCTCTTGCACCTCACTGAAATGTACTGTACTATTCTGGATAGCTCTACCTTAGACAGTGACTAGTTATCCAGAGGGCTTCTCGGACTTCTTCATTTGCATCATACATAGAAACATAAATAGGTCTAGGCACTGGACCTTGGCTTAGCAGTAAAATGCATTATTTTTCAAGGTTGACCCACATAGGAAGGTGCTAGCATTGAGTCCAGAGACTTTCCTGAGTAAGCCAGACACATACATGCCTGTAATGAAGGGCTGACCAAGTCCGCTGATACATGGCAATAATACCCTGTGGGGGAGAGGGGCTGCAGGTGGCATAGTGATTAAGGTGCTGGACTCCCATATCCCGACTGTGTTTCGAGTCCTGAACCCAGCAACTTGAAATTCATGCCAGGTGTGGTGCTTGCAGGCCCCAAATCCTGAGCGGAGAATGGAGAAGGGATCGTGCTGTGGCCATTCCCTCGGGGGTGATTTCTTACTTTCTGTTTCTATTTTTCTTTGTTTCTCTGGTGAGCACACACATCCTATAGCAAAAACCTCTTAAAAAAAAAAAAGATATTGGAGTGCTATTTCCCTGCCTTTCTTGCCCCTGGAAGAAATAAGCAGATAAACTTTAATAAAAAGGAAAACCAAAAGAACATATCTATGGGAGATACTGAAATATATATGAGGGAAGTTGGGGGTGTCTTACCAAGGGCTTGGTGAAAATAATCATTGTTTTCTTTATATTATATCATTTAATAAAAGTATCAAGTAAAAGGAAAGATAATAAATATTAAATTTTTATAAAACTTCCAAATACATGTGTTTAAGTTTTTTAATGTGGAACTTGATTGTACTTTCATGACTTGAGTATATTTTTAGAAGTTTTAATTTTGTTATTATCATTTCTAATTTACATATAATCGTACAAATTTATGGGGTACACAGTAGTGTTTCAAAACATGTATACAAGTGTGATGATCAATTCAGGGCAATAAACATCTTCACCATCTTAATATGCTGTGCACTTTCAAAATTCACTCTTTTTTTGATATGTACATTGAATTGTCTTGAAACTGTTACTGTGCTCTAGTATAAAAGCATTTTTTTTCAAATACGGTTTGGGCTTGAAATTGCTACCCATAGTTCCTGGTGAAATCCCTTCAACATAAGATCTTCATTTTCTTGGTACTTACAATCAAGGAAAAACCTCACAAGTGGATGATAGCAAATACAAGAGCCATTATTTGTTGCTTTAGCTCCTGCTGACTGTTCTCTTAGCATTTTCTCATATTTTGACAACTGGAGTTCTTTACATGTATGTAATGAGGAAATTGTTCTTTAAATAGAGTAACAGCTTCTTTTTTTCATTAACAAATGTAGAGTTGACATTTCTTGTAATAAAATGAACTTTTTTTCCCTTTTTTTAGGTTTTTGCCATAGGGCACATGCACTCTCTGGGACTAACAGGGAGAGACAGTGAGAGGAAAAGTGAGAAATCACCTCTAGAGGGGACAGCCATGCCTACAATCTCTTCTCTTCCATTCTCCTCTCAAGATTTTGGGCAAGCATGCACACATGCCCAGTGTGATTTTCAAGCCTCTGGATTTAGGACTCAAACCATGGTCAGCCGTGTGGGAGTCCACTGCTTTAAGTACTATGCCATCTGGTGTTCTCAGCAAACAGATTTGTAATCCATTCAAGCTTCTTTTTCATATCTTCTCCTAAAATAATGATAAAGCTTTTTGTCAAACACATTGTTCTTCTAAACATCATAATTCTTCTTTAGATTCATCTTATAATACCTGTGGAGCATTGCTGGTAACCATGCTTAATTTTACTTCCAAAGGTTTAATTTTGGTATAGGGCGTATGCATTCAGCTGAGAAAGAGGGAGAGAGGGAAAGCGAGAAATCTTACTCCAGGGAAAATGGCCATACTGCAGTCTCTTCTCCTCCTTCTTCCTCTCTGGATTTTGGGCACACATGCACACACGCCCAATGTGTTTTTCAAGCCTCTGGGTCTGGGACTTGAACTGCAAAGTTGGCCATGTTGGATCCAGATGCCTTAACCACCATACTACCTGGCTGACCCACTTTTCAAATATTTAATCAATAATCTTTAGTAGTCATTGTTCATGCATATTTTCCATATAGTCCCTCCAATTTTTTATTTAGCTCATTCAGATGCTCTGGAATATGAGTAAAGAAAGTCAATGGCTATTTTTCAATATTTTGCCATTAACGTGAGAGTCATAAAATATTTTTCCATTCTTATTTTAACGTGACTCTCTTGACAAAGCTCCACCCATAGGCAATGTGCTTCGGTATTGAACAGTAATAATCTGTTTGCCACATAAAGCTAAAGATGGATAGGTCTGTGGCGCCTAGGACTTGATTGGATTCACCTTTTGATAGTGCCATTCATGTGGAATTCAGGCCCACATAGGAACTTTGGAAGTTCTTCATATTAACTACATTTCAGGGCCTTCTCCTTGCATCTATACTATAGGCATAAACTTAGCTGCATTTTCATCATAATGTATAATTCAAAGTGTTCACTTACTATTTTGCTTATTAGTTTATTTTGCAACTTTACAGAATATATAATGTTCTCAGATTTTGTCTTCAGGATTTGACAGTTTCTAGCAAGGACGGATTAACCTGAGATGATGCATTTATGTTTTAACCAGCTTTTTAATTAAGATGATATGAAGGTCTTTGACATATCCTCTAACTACTAGTAAAGATACTCCAAAGGGACATTTTTCTCTCTCATTTGGAAAATGTTGAAATGATCACAGAGGCTAGTAAGAGGAGTGGTTCTGTAATTGTGTAAGTTCTGTGGGCTTTTGCTATTGTAAGCACGATCTCATGACGAACTTTGTAAGATATACACTTGATATTGGTACAGCTTATCAGAGAACTTTATTTCTTATTTTTTCTTGCACACGTTTGAAATGTTAAGTAATTGTATTTGTAAAATGGCTGTTTACTAGGATAATGCCAGTATAGCTTTCTTGACACCATGCTTTACTGGATAACATTTTGAAGCAAGACATTGAGGCTGAAGAAAAGGAAGAATTATGGAGGACCTTGGCTCCAAAGGTGAGACAGTCTTCATACCTCAAGTAACTGAAGCTTTTATTTTTTTTAACTATTTTTTTGGGGTCAGGGATCTGTTGAATTCTTTCTGAAGCCCATTAAAATAAAATTGTTTCATTATGGTAGGAAAATAAATCTGTACAACGTAAGACTATATAAATGTAAAGAATAGAAAACTAAGAGAGTTGCAAGCATTTGTAGTCAGAAATTAAGTAATAAAATAATACAGTTCATTTGCATTCTTTAGAATCAGACAAAATAAGCGGAAAATCAAAATGTGATTAAAGCAGGGACCAACAGTGTAATGGCTATGTCACTGGACTCCCATGTAGTCAACTGTGGTTCGTGTCCTGGACCCGGTGGTTTAAAACTCACACTGGGCGCATGTGCGTGCGTGCCCAAGATTGCAAGAGGAGAAAAGAGAAGGGATTGCAGTGTGGCCATCCCCCTGAGGGGTGATTTCTCGCTTTCTGTCTCTCTGTCTCTCTCTGTCTGTCTGGCGAGCGCACGTGCCCTATAGCAAAAACCTCTCAAAAAAAGCAATTAAAGCAGAATTTTGAAAATGAATGCAGTTAAAATGGAAAGTATTAAAATAGTAAATATTTT